TATTGTTCTCTCTATTGTTCTTTTTAGCCACACAAAAGAAAATAGCCACATAAAAGCATTACGGAATGAATGACATCAAAGAGAAAGAACAGTTACCTATTGTCCCTCTAGCCACATAATTACTCTCCCGTGAGTGCGGAAGGACGGACGGACGGACAACGCCAAAACTATATCCCCCTCCCGATTCCATCGGCAGGGGATAATAAAAATTATGTATCAATGTTATCATTTTCGGGCGTTTTCAATCCACCGGGGTTCTACCGGGGCTCTGCCTCTATCGTCCTGGGCTCTGCCGGTGCTCTGCCTGGATCGACCTGGGCTCTGCCTGGGTCAACCGGGGCTCCTCCGGCGTCATCCGGGAACGACCGGGGAAGCACCGGCATGATCTGTAGCTTCACCTGGGCTCTGCCTGGATGATCCGGAGCGCATCCTGGGTGGTAAGTAGGGAACTACAGTAGTGCTGCCGGGGTAAGTGTAACCGCAACAATAATTTCATCCCGGATCTTCCCGGTTACTTACCGGGATGGTCCTGGGCTCTGCCGGGAGTAAGTGAGACCGAGGCTTAAAATATCAGTCTTTTAACTTGGTCTTACTATTTTCTCTAAAGTTAAGACTTAATTTGAGTATAGATTGTGTAATAGATTACTTATTGGACTATATTTTAACAAGCATGCGTTATATTTTAGGGCAAAATAAACAGTTAACCTGGTTACGTTATTTATTATTTTATGTGGAGCGATAAGACAGGACATACCGTATGCAAGTACCAGGTACTGCTGATTCAGGAAATCTTCATTACTAAGATTTTACTTCTAGTTATTAGGCAATCTGAACTGATTTTTGACACTCTTATCTGTTTTCCCAAAGAAAAAATATATGTATCATGAACACTGTAGTATTGTTAAAAAGCACTTCAAATCGCAGCAGGTAATTAATGCTTTTCAATATTACAAATAATTTAAATTTTCTTTTGCGCGGTGTTTAGTTGATGCGGGATTTGCACATCTAAAGATAAAATTCCGGTAGCATGATTTAGAAACACTTCAACAGCTGGCCCATTTTACAGAGAAGTCATCTACAACCAACAGCCTGTATGTTACCCAAAGTTGTCATGGCGACAATGGAAACCCATTCTAGAGGAATTTTTCAAACCAATTATTGGTACAGTAAAAACTCTGAAAACCGGACCCTGTCCGGACTTGACCAAAAGTCTGGTTTTCAGAGGATTCCGGTTTTCAGAGGTTTTATACATTTATTGATAATTATGTTGTGTTTGAACAATGACTGTGTTCAATCATTTTGTATTTACTTTTCAACCCTTTTGTCCAAGTCATATTTTAATTTCTTTTTGCAATAAATGACTTCAGTAATTTTATTATGCATATTCTGAAAATCAGAAATTAAAACAACACATTGTCTGAAATATATCTTTTCAATTGACTTTTGAAATATGTAATTAATGGAATTTATTACAATTTTTGCATAAAATTATTATCCAAACAAAGATAACTTCAAGGTCAAAATTTTAAGCAAAACAGGAATCATTTAACAAAAGTTACCCAATTATTTTTGACATTTTATATAAAAAATACAACAAATTTTAAACATTTTGAAAAATCATACCTATACAGGGAAAAACACAATTATAATGAAAGAGCTTTAATTTAATTGCCAATAAGAAATTAACACAGGCTGACAAGTGTTTTCACACCTGCATAGATAAAAAGGAAATGATCGTTAATGGGCACTTGAACATGTCACCAGTTGAGGTTATGTTTAAATCTACATTAAAATACACAGAAAGTTGACACTTAAAATTGCTGTCCAGTTTTCAGAGGATTTTTTATGCAGGTTTAGCATTAGAAACCATAAGAAATCGTCCGGTTTTCGGAATTCAGAGGTTCCGGTATTCAGAGGATTTTTTTTCAATGAAAATCAGGAGAAAATAAGGGACTTATAAATTGGTCCGTTTTTCAGAGGATTCCGGTTTCCAGAGGGTCCGGTTTTCAGAGTTTTTACTGTATAAGGTAACCTATGTTTATCTTATTTAAATGAAAATGTTGAGAAACTCAGAAATCCAGACTCAGAAAATATCTTAAACATGAAAATTTAAGGGTTATTTTTTTTTAATCGTTTACAAGTAGCTTTATTTTCTTCTTTGATTTACTTTAACTTTATATCATGAAGAAAATGTAGATACTGTATAAATAGTCCTTAAAGAGTAATAAGCTATATCTGTTAAAATACTATATAAAATTAAGAAAAAAACATAAGGAAATGGTTCTGTATTCAAATATTAATAGAAATTTTTGATACATAAAATGTATCCACATGTATATTGTTCGTGATCAGCATAAAATGTTCCGGAACAAAATCTTATGCAGAGGGAATTTGCAACATATACCCAGCTAATACACTTTAACGTGAGATAAATTCTAAAACAATTTTTGTCTGGTTTAATTAGGTTTATATGTACGGATGGTCTTATTTAAAAAAATATTTTACGCACTTACATTTACAGTTTATGAAAATCAGTCACGTGACCAAGTTAACTGTCATGCTCTGTAAGAGCTGTCCAAGCTATTCCGTTCTTTTAACTCAAAGAGTTCTAAATGTACTCTGAATAATGTTTTTTTTTATTTATTAAAGCATATTAGGAAATAAGTTTGCAGCATTTTTCATTACGGATATTTATCATTTTTCTATTGATAGAAAATTCCTGCACTTCCGGTTCCAGTCGAACACACCGGGTGTGGTTATGACCAAATTAACACCTGAAGGCGAGGAATATTAGATTCAAGTCTTGAAAGAACACGGATTCCGGTTCAGTTCATGTGTCCGTCCAAGCGTTATTACACCCGTGGGAATGTCAGCAGTGTCGCGAAGTGTGTATGTGTTCGTCAGTCAAATACAATTAATCATTATATCAGTGATAAAGGTGCACTGTTATAACAGCTAAGTGCTGATTTGAAGTATCCAGAACTGTTGTTTGTTGTTTAAAAATACGGCCATTGATTCTGTCATAAAGAAAAATAGAACATTTTATCTAACTGTCTATGTTTTTTCGTCTATGTTTTTTTGTCTATGTAAGTATTAAACGCGAAACGTAGGCTTATATACTGTTGTTGATTTATTTCTTTTGGTATATATACTCAACATCACTAATTCCGCGTCATCATTTATCTCACGGTAATGGCATATTTTCATGTGACCAGTGTTATAATTGGTCAGAATTGACATATTTTATTCAAACACCTTAACAACAAAGGTTTTGTGCAAAATAATTTAAATCTATAGAATTTTACGTAAAACTGAACAACATTTTACAAACTTCTGCAAAAAACAACAATAGTCCATTAAAATTGTGCATATGTCTGAAACAATCATCATTTTCTAAATGTTCTTGTTTGTTGAAAAAATAAATTTTGAGTTTCAATGTAAAAATACTTTTAATATTTAAAATTATGCAAAATAACTTAAAGAAATTTTAACTGAAACATGAAAAAACTGAAATAAAACACCATTACCGCGAGGTAAATGATGACATACTGTTTTCAAAATGGCCGACACACTGTTTACATCTGACAAATTAAAACTAATTTTGATTGAATATATTGTTGTTTCCTTGTGTCATATAGCAGAAAAATGACTAAGTGATACAGTTTATGACAGTTTTTGTAGTGTAAGTTTATTGTTTGTGTTCTTTACTGTTTTAAAGTGTTAAGTACCGTGAACTAAGAGGAGCACAGTATACCTAAAAATTTGTCTGATTTAAATCTATGCGACCCGGGCATACTAAAACCCACCAACACACCTGTGCCTTCTGATTGTAGTCTGCAATATTGTTTTTCAAGCAGTATATAGTCTGAACATTTCCCGTAAAGATGATGAATAATTTTGTCCAAATAAAAGGTATATAGTGCCGTAATGGTTGAAAAAAAAAACAACCAATTATTTGCGCCATGAATGACTCGCTTATGGGTGTTGTTATAACGTTGCTAAGCAACGCTAAAAAATGCAATAAGCGGGAATCTTATAGTTTACATAACTTAATTACTAACTTTTTTACAGCTTAAACATACTAATGGAGTGAAGTTAAGATTTACATATAATTGCCGTTTAAAATTTTCCAATTAACAACGTTAAACGTCAATTCAATTTTTCGACGTCATTTGTTTTCAAAGTGATCAAATATATGACGTTCTTTAAATTGGTATATCTCAATAACTAACCCTTTGATTTGAAAACGGTTTTCACCATCATATTCAAAAAGAAATTCTCTACAATAATAAGTAAAAAACGAAATTTCGAAAAAAAATGTCATTAAGACCGGTTTTCTCGAGTCGTGCCTCATATGTATATGTAATCTTCAAGCAATAACAGTAATGACTTCGAACACAGTGGAGAATTTTTAGTTATCGTGATTAAAGTAATTGATGAATACGCTAAGCATAATTATTACAATTGTCTAAATACTCCCATGACTGTTGGAAAATTTTCACAAGTTGAATGATTAGCCACTAGATCAGCGCCAATTAGTCTGGCTTCGAATGGTAGGTGTGAAATTCTTTCAGTATTGCTTAATCGGGACCAAAACATTATTTCAAAAAATAGGAGGTGTTAAGATAATGCATTTTGAACAATACCTTTGTATTTCCATTAATTTATATATATATAAAAACGTGACAGCTGATCTACTTTGGATAATGAAAGGTATTGGAATAAAGGGTTGTGGAATAAATAAAGGGTTGTGGAATAATCAGGGTCGGACTGTACTTTCACTGTAATTCCAAACCTTTTAACCTTAAACCTGCTGGATTCGAAAGTGATCAGCTTTGCCACATATATTTAGCCATGCCAGCCTGTACATTTGTGCAGTCTGACAAAACTCTATAATGTGGGTTGCTCAACATTTTTATTTTGAAGTGACTGTTCCAAATCCAAAACTGGGCACATCTATTACACAGAATCAGCCAGTTTAATTATAAATCAATACATACCCCCATAAGAGTGATAGCCTCAGCTTTTGCCTCCTCTGTCTGTGGTAGATGTAGGTTCATCTCATCTCCATCAAAGTCAGCATTGAATGGATTACAGCAACACTCATTGAACCGGAATGTTCGGTGTGGCTTTACTTTTGCCTGAAATGAAAACAATACTCATTGACCCAGAATGTCCGGTGTGACATAACCTTTACTTGAAACAAAAAAAACAAACTAGAAATGTGTCCATAGGACACGGGTGCCCCCATACTCCACCGATTTGTCAATCTTATGTCTTCAGGACAAATATATTTTTTGGCTAAATGTGCCAAAGTTGAAAACTAAAAATCTTTTGTTTAGTAAAGGGCAAATACTACCAATACTGAATACAAGAAGACCACCAATGTGCATAAGTACACATGCTGACCAACATTCTTCTAGACTTTCAGGCCTACAGGTCAAATACTTTTTGAGTTACGTGCAACACAAGTTGAATATTGTAAATTTTTACTAAGTCAAGGGCAATAACTCTAAAAATGCTAAAAATATCTACCTGAAAATACCCAGGTGCACAACTACACAAGCTGAGCAACATTCCTGTAAGATTTTATGACTCTAGGGCAGAAAAGCTTTTAGAAGTCAAGGCCCCTGTGACCTTGACCTTTGACCCAGTGACCTAAAAATCTATAGGGACCATCTACTAACCATGACCAACCTAAATACCAAATATCAAGACTGTGGGTCAAAGGAATCATAAGTTATTGCACGGACAAGCTTTTAGAAGTCAAGGCCCCTGTGACCTTGACCTTTGACCCAGTGACCTAAAAATCTATAGGGACCATCTACTAACCATGACAAATCTAAATACCAAATATCAAGACTGTGGGTCAAAGGAATCATAAGTTATTGGGCGGACAAGCTTTTTGAAGTCAAGGCCCTTGTGACCTTGACCTTTGACCCAGTGACCTTAAAATCAATAGGGATCATCTACTAACCATGATCAATCTAAATACCAAATATCAAGACTGTGGGTTAAAAGAATTTTAAGTTATTGGGCGGACAAGCTTTTAGAAGTCAAGGTCCCTGTGACCTTGACCTTTAACCCAGTGACCTCAAAATCAATAGGGGTCATCTACTTACCATGATCAATCTAAATACCAAATATCAAGACTGTAGGTTTTAGGAATCTTAAGTTATTGGGCGGACAAGCTTTTTGAAGTCAAGGCCCCTGTGACCTTGACCTTTGACCCAGTGACCTCAAAATCAATAGGGATCATCTACTAACCATGACCAATGTAAATACCAAATTTGAAGACTGTGGGTCAAAGGAATCTTAAGTTATTGGGCGGACAAGGAAAAACCCACGGACGGCCAGACGGCCAGACTGGGTGACGGCCGGACGGACAAGCTGATTCCAGTATACACCCCCTTACAACTTCGTTGTGCGGGGGTGTAATAAAGTCTGTATGGGCAAAAGTGTAAAAAAAATCTATTTTTAGCACTGGTGACCTTGACCCAACTGGGTCTTACTCCATCCAAAGGAAGAATATCATGCAACTTATTTTCCTACCAAATATGAAATAAATCTGTCAATATATAAAGGCTGTATGGGCAAAAGTGTAAAAATCTATTTTTAGCACTGTTGACCTTGACTCAACTGACCCCTAACTCCATCCAAAGGAAGAATACCATGTAAGTTATCTTCCTACCAATTATAATAAAAATCTGTCAATAAATATAGGCTGTATGAGCAAAAGTGTAAAAATCTATTTTTAGCACTGGTGACCTTGACCCAACTGACCCCTACCTCCATCCAAATGAGAATACCTCAATTTTATGTTCCTACAAAATATATAAGACATCTGTCGATAGAATAAGGTTAATACACCTGTAAAAGTGTAAAAAATCTATTTTTGACATTGGTGACCTTGACCCAAATGACCCCTTACTAAAGGAAAAGGAAGAGGACCTCCCTTGGTATCACTTTTATAAACATGAAAGACATTAACTTAAAAATAAAGGCTGTAAGAGCAGAAATGTTTAGATTTATTTTTTTACACAAGTGACCTTGACCTAGAGACGCCTAACGCCACAAAAAATTAGAGGACCGTTAAAGGTATCCACCTACCAAATATGAAAGATATCATTAAATAAATTAAGTAATTAGGTGAAATTTTTTGATAAATCCAACTTGGCAGGATAGGTTAACCATACAAGGCCCTATTTTCAAAGTGATAAAAAGGGAAATTACTGGGAAAATGGATGGCACATTTATATAACTTGGCAATATCATGTACATTGTATTGATAAGTAAGTGCCAAAATTATTAAGCCATTAGTTCAGATAGAACATAAGATATATTGCCAACTTGCCGGTTTAGGTTAACCATTATTCATTTTCTATGTGCTGAAAAGAGCCATAAATTGGTGCAAATGGAAGCCATAGTTATGTAACTTGCCCAGATCATATACTTTGTATGGATTAGTAAGTGTGTAAATTATGAAGCCATTGGTACAGGTAGAACTTAAGAAAAATCCAACTTGCTGTTCTAGGTTAACCTCGTACGGACAGACGGACAGACAGACGGACGGACGGTTCAATTACTATATGCCAGGAGGCATAAAAATACTAAAAATATCCACACGAAAATACCCAGGTGCACAACTTCACATGCTAAGCAACATTCCTGTAAGGTTTCATGACTCTAGGTCAATTACTTTTTGAGCTACGTGTGACACAAAAAGAGAACGGACGGACGGCGGGATGGATGGAAGAACGGCCGGATGAACAAGGGTAAATCTAAACTATAGATATAAATCTAAACTATAGATCCCTATAGTGGGACCACAACAAAAGCTTAAATAATTTTACAAACAAAGGTAATTTGTAATTCTTTTTTTGTTTTTAGTGACATGAAGTAACTTAATATTGTCAAGTCTTTTTCATTAACAGTAACTTAATATTGTCAAGTCTTTTTCATTAACATCAAAATCATTTGCAGTCCGAGTTTTGGTAGAGAAGTAACAATAAAAGTCAAGGCAAGGCAAAAAGGCAATTGCAAATAATTATCTAAAGTATGTTTAATTATACTTACAAAGAATGCTTGAATACTGAGTTTATGCAGAGATGGTTGTCTGTTAAAGAGAACAATATCCCCATCCATCATGTGTCTCTCAACTGTGTCTCCAGTCTTCAACTCTTTTGCTATCTTTTCTCGGTTACCATACCGTAAAAATCTGTGATAAAAGGTGTTTTCCCTACTCATGAATCAGAATCTTGTAAGCTCCACTTTAGTCAAGCAAAACAAATATATTTCGTTTTTATATCTCTTTACTATTTAAGCTACATGCCTTCAGGTGAGTCAAAATATTTCAATAAAATCAAACTTTGAGAACAATGAACTAAAATGTAAGGAAAAGTAAAAAGTTTCAAGATGAAAGTAATATTTTACATATTATGTGATTAATGAATGATTTTTCAGTATTTATAACTTTATTTCTACTGCATTAAAGGGTATTTATGCATATTTTGACCACTTTATGGTAATTTTCGTGGTTTGTAAGTGTCATTGATAATGTGTAAATTGTTTCCTTTTGGTTACTTCACAATAGTACACATTCAAATACATTTTCAGAATTTTTATGAAAATGAACATGAATCTGGAGGCCTGCTGCTTTAAATTACTAAGCGTAGACTTTAAAACTACACTAGATAAGTTTTACAGAAATTTTTTTAAACCTGAAGAAAGAAAACTGCTTATTTGAAGTATACACTTATGCATATATTAAATTATTATTATAAAATGCTTTTTAGTGTGCTGTGAGTTTGCAAATACAAGAGGGCCATGATGGCCCTAGATCGCTCACCTGACCCATCAAACTCATCCAAACAATTACCTAGACAAGCATTCTGACCAATTTTTATGACAGGTGAGTCAAAAATGTGACCACTACAGTGTTAACAAGGATTATCCATATTTGAGCAGTGTGACCTAGTTTTTTACCCAGGTGACCCATATTCAAACTTGACCTAGAAATAATCAAAACAAACTTTCAGACCAATTTCCAGGATACTTGGATCAAAACAGTAGCAACTAGAGTATTAACAAGATTTTTCTATTTTTAGCTCCGGTGACCTACATGTGTAGTTTCACATGCGATTTCGAACTCATCCGAGCAATTACCTAGACAAGCATCCTGACCAAGTTTGATGATAATTGAGTCAAAAATGTGACCACTAGAGTGTTTACAAGGTTTTTCCATATTTGGGCGGTGTGACCTAGTTTTTCATCCGAGATGACCCATGTTTGAACTTGACTTAGAAATCATCAAAACAAACTTTCACACCAATTTAAAGGATATTTGGATCAAAACAGTAGCCACTAGAGTGTTAACAAGATTTTTCTGTTTTTAGCTCCTGTGACCTAGTTTTTCATCCGAGATGACCCATGTTCGAACTAATCCGAGCAATTACCTAGACAAGTTTCCTGACCAAGTTTGATGACAATAGTCAAAATTGTGACCACTAGATTGTTAACAATATTTTTCTATTTTTAGCTCCTGTGACCTAGTTTTTCATCAGAGAAGACCCATGTTCGAACTCATCCGAGCAAGTACCTAGACAAGCATCCTGATCAAGTTTGATGACACTTGTGTCAAAAATGTGACCGCTAGAGTGTTAACAAGATTTTTCTTTTTTTAGCTCCTGTGACCTAGTTTTTCATCCGAGATGACCCACGTTCGAACTCATCAAAGCTATCACCTAGATGACCATCCTGACCAAGTTTGATGATGATTGAGGCAAAAATGTGACCGCTAGAGTGTTAACAAGGTTTTTCTATTTTTTACTCCGGTGACCTAGTTTTTCATCCGAGATGACCCATGTTCGAACTCATTAGAGCTATCACCTAGACAAGCATCCTGACCAAGTTTGATGATGATTGAGGCAAAAATGTGACCGCTAGAGTGTTAATAAGGTTTTTCTATTTTTAGCTCCTGTGACCTAGTTTTTCATCCAGGATGACCCATGATCGAACATGACATACAAACCATCTAAACACCATTTCTGACTAATTTCCAGGATATTTGGAGCTAAACAGTATCCTCTACATGTTAGCATGGTTCTTCCATTTCTGGGCTGTGTAACCTAGTTTTTGACCACAGATGAACTATACTTGAACTTGAGCTAGAAATCATACAAACAACCTTTCCGACCTCAGGTGCCCTTCCTTGCATTATTTCAGGCATGAACGGGCACCCGAGTAGAACCACAGACATTCCGTAAGCTAGCTGGATAGCTTCCTCACATGATAGAATCCAAATTCCCTATCAGGATTCCAACCCACAGCGGTGAGGGGCAAGTGGTTTGAAGTCAACGACATATAGATGATATCATAGCTCTCAGTTTTTTATCAGAAAAGACATAATGACAAGAGGGCCATGATGGCTCTATATCGCTCACCTTAAGGAATAGATCTTAAAAGTATTTTTCTTTTTTAAAACAAGCAACAGGTTTATAAAATTCTTTAATGTCATTTAAAGGTTAGTGTCAAATGTAAAGTATTTTTGGCCAACAGCAACAGGAATGCTAACATGTGTATAGAAATACCTCTTTTTTTCTTTTCTTTAAAGTATAGGTTGCTAAAAAATACACTCCCTGTAGTGTGTTTACATCATGAAAATTTTAACAATGACATCATAATTAACAAGACGAAAAATTGGTCAAAGACAAAAATGGCTGGGTTGCATTTGTATACCAAATAACATGACTCATGAGGCTGTGATGTTACAAAAATGTACTACCGACCATTAATGTCGAACATTTAACTAATTTGGTGAACAGGAAGTGGATAAGCGATAGACCTGAACTTGGGACCACATGTTAATGCAGTCACAATACCAAATATCAAGAGGTTGTGATATGTAGTTGCTGAGAAAACTGTTACAAAAATTTCCTTCAATTTACAATTAATGCTGAAAATTTAACTAAGTCAGCAAACGGGAAGTGGATGACCCACATACATGTACCTGAAATCATATCCCATTGTATGTGACTACATTATACAGTTGATGCTGTATACCAAATATCAAGAGGCTGTGATAAGTAGTTGCTGAGAAAATTGTTACGAAAAATTCCTACCATTGACCATTATTATGAATTTAACTAAGTCAGTAAACATGAAGTGGATGAGTGACAGACCTGAAATCGAATCCCTTGGTATGGGACAATGTGTTAATACTTTATACTAAATATTATGAGGCCCTGATAAATAGTTGCTGAGAAAACTGTTACCAAAAATGGCCCAACCAATTCGCCTGCCTGCCGGAATCAAGTCTCAATACATGATGGTAAACAGTATTTTTTTTGCATATAATTATGTAAATTTTTTTCGAAAACCAGTATTATTGTCGTAACAGATATCCCATTAGTGTTTAAATATTAAAATATTTTTTGATAGTGTTTACTCAGGGGTATCATGTTGGGGGCAGGATCTAACCCCCAAGCATCTGTGGTTTATCATATTAGGACAGCCTTTCTACAAAAACTTCTTCCTGTTGACATGAGTGGCTCTATACACAGGTTTAATTGTAAAATTAAATCTTGTAAAATGTGATTAAAAAAAAACAACAACAAACAGCAGGGATCTCAGGAAGGTCAGAATTTCACGTGGCAGACTGTTTGGCCAAAATTTTCATAAGTCAGATCAGTTTTTTCTTGTGTTATTTTTCTACATGAATCATTTTCATGTTTTAAAAATTACTGTTTGGGAAGTCATTTTGAGTAGATTTTCAAGTTTAAATTGATAACTGTTAGGTAATTTTTAAATTATAAGCTTCTTGCTTAGTTAACAATATGATAAAGATAATTAAGTATTTCTAGCACCATGGATAATTACCATAATTATTGTTCCATTTTCACTTACATTTATTGAGGTCAATAACACATGTGTATATGTATAATTTTAGAAATCATAACACGGGAGGTGATATTTACATAAATACTGAATGTCATGCCTAAATACTTCATAAATAATTAACAAAATACCTGTTGCAACAAAGCACACCGATAATTGTATTCATCTTCACTTCTTTGTTTTGAAATACGAGTTTATGTTACAAAATTTCTCAATTTTCTTGTGCAAGGCCGCCATTTTGTCATACTACAAGGGGATAATCGTTCGTTATTAGCGTTCTAGACTTGTTTATAAAAACTTGACAATAAAATTATATAACAAGAGGGCCATGATGGCCCTGAGGTCGCTCACCTGTATATAGGCCCCCGGAGCGGGGCCAATTTAAACCCCAGGGCTTTTATTTGAGCAAACTTGGAAGACACCCATTAGAAGATGTTTCATGATGTTAAGTTTTTACTACACACATATAATGAAAAACAATGACCTCCGCCCCCCCCCCCCCTTTGACACGGCCAATTTAAACCCAAGGGCTTTTATTTGGACAAACTTGGTAGACACCAACAAAAAGATGTTTCCTGCTTAAAATCTAACCTCTAGCTCATTGGGTTTTTGAAAAGAAGATTTTTTAAATTTTTACTATACACATATAGTTAAAAACAATGACACCTCTGGGGCGGGGCCAGTTTTAACCCCAGGGCTTTTATTTGAACAAACTTTGTAGACACTTACTAGAAGATGTTTCATTCTTAATATCTAAACTCTAGCTATTTGGGTTTTTTCAAAGAAGATTTTTAAGTTTTTGCCATACACATATAAGGAAAATTATAACCTCCGGGGCGGGGCCAATTTTGACCCTAGGGCTTTTATTTGAACAAACTTTGTAGACACCCATTAGAACATGTTTCATGCTAAATATCTTAGCTCTAGCTCTTTGGGTTCTTTAAAAGAAGACTTTTTAAGTTTTTACTATATGCATATAGGGAAAATCAATGACCCCCTGGGGCAGGGCCAATTTTGACCCCAGGGCTTTTATTTGAACAAACTTGGTAGACACTCACTAGAAGATGTTTCATGCTTAATATCTAAACTCTAGCTATTTGGGTTTTTTCAAAGAAGATTTTTTAAGTTTTTGCTATACACATATAAGGAAAATCAATGACCCCCGGGGCGGGGCCAATTTTGACCCCAGAGCTTTTATTTGAACAAACTTTGTAGACACCCATTAGAACATGTGTCACGCTAAATATCTTAGCTCTAGCTCTTTGGGTTCTTTAAAAGAAGATTTTTTAAGATTTTACTATATGCATATAGGGAAAATCAATG